TCTTTCTCCAGAGCTGACAGAGAGAGAAAGCCTTCCCCTGAAGCCAGCACCCTGAATTCAGACTTCTAGCCTCTTAAACTGTGAGAAAATAAAATTTATTTGTGTTAAAGTCATCTGCTTGTGGTATTTCTGATATAACAGCCCTAGATAACTAAGACAGACTGGGCCCTCAGGGCAGAGCCAGGTCTATGTGAGTTCCTAGGACAAGGCTATACCTCCTCTTTCAATGTGGTGCTAGCTTTCACCTCTGCCATTGTCTCTCCTGGGCAAGGTCCACCTCCTGAAGCAGTCAGGGTGCTGTGACCTTGCTGGCTATGGAAGTTAGGACCAGGGGTGAGTACTGTTCCAAGAGGACCCAACCATTGACTGACCTGTGACTTCTGACCTGTGTCACAAAGACTCAACACCAGGGATGGATGGGAGGGAGATGGGAAGGAAGACTCAATTCTTAGGGGACAGTGAGCACATCTTAAAGGTAATGGTGTCCTTTAGGAATGGGTAAGGGTGATGGTTGAACAATATAATAAACATAATTAACATCACTGAACTGTATGTATGCAGATTGTTGAAATGGCAATTGTTTTGTTATTTTAAATATATACTGCAATAAAAAAACAGGATTATATCTGTATAAAGTTCTAATTTGTTTTTTTCATTAAACAAATATTTATTGCATTCTTTAAAAAAAAAAAAAAAGACTTGAGCCAATCAAACTCCTCTTTCAAGAACCTGAGCTAAGAGATTTAAAGGAAAGCTCTGGTTGGTGGTAGATAGTTAAGATGGAAGGAGTTGAGGATCTGGGCTGGACAGGCTGGGAGATTGAGAGAAGGCACTTAATTTGCCCAGTGAGGTGGCTTAGGGATTTCCTCACCATTTCATTTTTGTCAAAATTACTTCTTACCAGTGCATTGCACTTTAAAGTTTACAAAGCTTTTCTGCATCCACTGCCTCAGTGGTTTTGCCCATAGTCCTCTGAACCAGGTTAGCAGCTCAGGGCTTATTGTAGTAGCCCTATCTTCAAGTTTACGGTGCTGAAGAACACCTGAGAGATGGCTGAAGACAGAGGTATGAGGTCCATAATGGGGAGGGGACTTGCCTGAGGTCACCCACACTTAGAACCTGCAGTCAGGTCTCCTAACTGTCCAGCCAAGTCCTCTTTCTTTCCACCGTTCATTGAACATGTTACATTTCAAAGCTGTCCTCTTCTATCTAGACATGCAGGCTATTGGGGTAAGACACAGGCAGGGAAAAAGACTCTGGATGTGATGTCGGTGAAACAACATGGCCCTGAGTCTGCATTCCTCCTCCTCCAGCTCTCAGCTTGTGCTTTCTGAGCTCCGTGTTTCTTATCCCTAAATTGGGTATCATGATGCCCACCTAAGGTGGTTGTGAGAACAGCCTGAGATGATGTGTGCCCAGGGCCTGTCCAGGCATGCCCAGAAAGAGGGTTGACAGAACTGTTCCAGTCTGCCTCCAGCTTGCTGTGAGGAGTAAGGGTGGTGAGGGGAGAGCAAAGTCTCTGTGTCTACTCCCTCCTACTTTGGCTCTGGCCAGAGGGGAGCTCTAGGCCAGATCAAGTGAGTTAAAGATTGGCTAGGTGTGCGTGAGAAGCTCCTGAGCACAGGAGTTGTTCAGTGACAGTTAGGTTACCTCTGGACCACCTCAGGCCTGGCATGAAACTCCCCAGGGAGCTGCACCTTGGCTGAATCTTGGATTGACTAAGTATGACAGTGTAGGCTTGTTGGGGTTCTTTATATAGCACTAGGGAACATCACCGAGCTAACCTCTAGCCCAGGGTCTTTGGAGGATAGGACCATGTTGCTCTGACTGGCGCTCCCAGGGCAAGGCCATGCTACCTCTCCCAGACAGGACCATGTTTGTTGGGACTCCCAGGGATAGATTAGGTCTTTTTTCTTAGGCTGAGATGTCCATGGCAGGGCTGTGTTTCCTTCAGTTTAGGGTTCCCAGGTAAGGGCTCTGCCTCTCTTTTCAGAGAAGGGTTCTCAGGGCAAGGCTAGGTCTGTGGTAGCTCCTAGTACAAGACTGTGTCTCCTCCCTAAAGTGGGATCACAGAACGAGGCCATTTCCCCTGGGACTCTTTAGAGCTGGGCTCAGTCTCCCTCCTCAGATTAAGACTCTAAATGACTAGGGTAATTTTTCCCTCAGACTGGAGCCCCCATGTAGGGCTGTGTCTCTTCATTAAGTCCATGATGTCCAAGGTATGATCATGCCCTGTATGTCTAGAGGTCCTAGGGCAGGGCTTCGTCTTCTCCCTCAGACTGGGGTTCCCTAGGGCAGAGCTGTGTCTTTCTCACTCTGAGAGATGACCTGGGTCTTCTCTCAGATGGAGGTTTTTTGAAGAGTTGTTTTGGGTTTGAGGACAGGCATGGACACAGACAGATACAGCTCAGGTGAAGTACTTCCTCCCTGCAGGATTTTAGCACAAATCCAGATGTTTTTACTTCTTAGATTTATTACTTTTTCCAAAGCCAAAAACATTCATGATTATTTCCAGAACGTTGGGGCAAGTATGCATCTGGGTAAGCACATTGGAAATGAAGGTCTTGCTCATTTTCATGTCATCTCAAACAATCATAATTTGTAGAACAGATAAGTTGAGCCCCAATTAGTAATAAAAGAACCAAAAGTAAACTGAAGGAATTATTCTGCAACACTATTAGAGCTCTATTAGAGAGCAGCTCCTGTTGGTCAAGGGTGGCATTGCAGCCTAGCTGTATTAGTCCTTGTGTTTACTACTGAGACAGAAGAAGTGGTAGGAAATGAGATCCAGCAGCCACACATGTGGTGGTATAAAGAGGGCTATTTAGAAAGAAGTATAGGTGTCAGCACCTGTAAGCTCACTTCCAAGACTACAACACCTAGGGCTGGCCACCATTTGAACAACCTTCTCATTGAATTATTAATTTGAACAATTAGTGGCTGTATTTCTACAGAACATATCACTAATACAATGATAAAAGCAATAGGAAAGCAGGATTCAATTTGCAGAGATCCACTCTAATGCTTATGTGGATAATGAGTCTATTCTAGAAAGCAGAGGATCATGATAGATGGGTGTGTGCAGCCATTCTTTCTATGTTATTTCTTTTACCTCTTTTTAGAACCTTTTGGAGGACTCCTCCTTCACTTTATTTCCTCTGTTTCCCACATCTGGGTGGGCATCCTTCAGTCACATTGTATAGGCAGTAGGCCCCTTCAAGCATAAAGCTATGGCCTTAGAGACAGCCTAGTGCTGGGTGCATTAGAGAAACCAGGTGGTCAGTTTGAGTGTGTGTGTGTGTGTGTGTGTGTGTGAGGGGGTGTAGAGGGAAGGCGGTCCAAATATCAGTATCCTCAGGCTCAATGCTGTCTCGATTTTTCAATGGGGAAATGTGTCGTGGAGAGGAGCCTCACTCCCACGTAGGAGAGAAACATAACAGCTCTCTCATTTTATAGAGAAGAAAGCTAACCTAGAGCCCTTAGGGATCAATTAACCTCACCTTCTTCCTCCATTTTGTAGGTGGTGACACTGAGACCCCCAGAGCAGTGAAGGGCCTTACTTAGTATCACACTGTAGATCAGAACTAGGATTAGAGTTTGGGACTCATGACTGCCAGCACACGATGGTGTCTTCCCATTGAACTTCTAGGTAAGCTATCCCTGGGGTTGAAACAATGGCCTCTGCCATAGTGGGTGCTCCACCCTGGGACTGTATAGGGAGAAGGGAAGGCCTGGACTTTTTTTTTTTTTTAAATTTGGGTTAAAATTTACAGAGCAAATTCACTTTCCATACAGCAGTTCACGTACTCTTTGTCTCATAACATTGACTGCAATTTACCACAATGCTACAGCTCCCCTCCTACTTCCTCCGGATAGTTACCTCTTCCCTGTGTTCATCCCTCCATGCACTCCTGCCCCCAGGCCTGGACCTTTTGCTGGTAATTTAAACACTTCTAGGGAGCTTGTCGTCTCCCAGGTGTAGGCAAGCAAATCAAGACCTCATGAGAAGTCATATGTTCTACCTTTTAAATGAGAGACATACGGGAAACCCAATCACCTGCTGGATTTGACCCACAAGGCTGGGCCCTTCCTCACTGTTTCCTTTAAGTGTTGGAAGGCTTGGTTCATACAGGAAAAGAGAGAAGAGAGAGCAGTGAAAGAGTACCCATCCCAGGTTTGGTGGTCTGACAGAGCCTGATGGAACCCCTGAGACTATGGCCCCTCACTGCCCTTCAGGTCTGGAATTGAACCCATTCCTGTGGCTTCCAGCCAAACAAAAGATAGGCATATGAGCTGAGCATTTACACTAGGTAGATACACTCCTTGGAGAGAACAATCATGGGAGACTAGAAGGGCTGTGTATGCACAGGGAGATAGCTCAGGGGGCAGGGGTGCATGGAGGGAGGAAGTGGGAGGGGAGCTGTTGCATTGTGGGAAATTGTAATCAATGTCATGAGACAATGTGTATGCGAACTACTGTATGAAAAGTGAATTTGCTCTGTAAACTTTCACCCAAATCACAATTAAAAAAAAAAAAAGGAAAGAAAGAAAAAATACCCATCAATGACTATGAGGGGACATACCTGGGTCTAGTCTCAGGACTCAAGGAACAAGGGCTTACTAACACATACTATGATATGATTGGCTCTTCCAGGCACAAAAGACCACATAGTGTATGATTCCATTGTATGAAATTTCCAGAATAGCCAAATCTTTAGAGACAGAAAATAGATTAGTGGTTGCCTAAAGCTGAGGTAGGGGTGGGAAGTAGGAGGAAAATGGGGAGTGACTATTAATGGGTACAGAGTTTCTTTTTTGGGGTGAGGAAAATGGTCTAAAATTTATTATGATGATACGCAACTTTGTGAGTATACTAAAACCATTGAATTTTATACTCTTAATAGGTGAATTGTATGCTATGTGAATTATATTTCAATAAAGTAACAATATATTAAAAAAAGAAAGAAACTAAGACTGAGGCCCCATGGATGCCCTCCCCTGCCTCAGCACAGTATAGCTTTCATCACTTGATGGAGAAGCGCAGCCGTGCCTGGATGTGTTTGCAGCGGGGATGCTTCATGGTCAGCCCATAGATGGGGGTCAGGTCCACTTTCACATCAGGTGGTACGCTGAACTCCAGCCGCTGAAGCAGGACGGCTAAGAAGAGGAATATCTCCCACTTGGCCACGACTTCCCCAATGCACCGACGCTTGCCCATGCCAAAGAGCATCACTTTCTCACTCAAGACCTTGTTGATGGTGCTGCCCTTGGCAGTGAGGAATCGCTCTGGCTGGAACTCAAATGGGTCCTCCCAGAGCTTCCTGCAAGAGAGATACGAAAAATGGAATCTCAATATTGGCTACGACCTCAGAGGAAAGGACTGGGGAAGCCTTCTGGACAAAGAAATAAGGACTGAGGCCTCCATGCACTGATAAATGTTAGCATCGATCGAGAGCAGTGAAAGGTTAGTGGGAAAGGAACTAAACTGTACTTTGATATTTATTTATTTTACAAAGCTCTCTCTAAAATAGTCAGCCTTGAAAATAGTACTTCTTAATATTAATTTGTTATTTGAAAGAACTAATGCTTACCAAAAAAAATTAAAGGAAGGAAATCATGTTTATCTTTACCTTACTCAAAATATGATGTAACCAGCTATACATCTGGTAATTGCCTATTGTCTTAAGATAATTATTAATGTTGCTGTTGTTGTTGTTAGGTGCTGTTGAGTCATCTCTGACTCATAGCGACTCCATGTACAACAGAATGAAACACTGCCAGGTCCTGTGCCAGCCCCATGATCCTTGCTATTCCTAAGCCCATCATTGCAGCCACTGTGTCAATTCATCTTGTTGAAGGCCTTCTCCTTTTTCGTTGACCCTCCACTTTATCAAGCATGACAAACTTCTTCAGAGAATGGTCCCTTCTGACAACATGACCAAAGTAGGTGAGATGAAGTCTAGTCATTCTCGCTTCCAAGGAGCATTTCGGCTGCACTCCTTCCAGAAGAGGTCTGTTAGTTCTTTTGGCAGTCCATGATACTTTCAGTATTTTTCACCAACACCACAACTCAAAAGCATCAACTGTTCTTTGGTCTTCCTTACTCATTGTCCAGCTCTTGCATGCATAAGAGGTGATTGAAAATACCATGGCTTGGGTTAGGCACATACCCTTTCACCTTCAAATATGTTCGAGTTTTGATGGTAAATTATATGGTCCCCTTACCTATAGACTGGGAGCTCTGGTGGTATAGTGTCTAAGGCATTTGACTGCTAACCAGAAGGCTGGCGGTTCAAACCCACCAGCCACTCCTCAGAAGAAAGATTTGGCAATGTACTTCTGTAGAGATACCACCTTGGAAACCCAAGGAAGGGTCGCTATGAGTCAAAATCAACTTGATGTCAGTGAGTTTGGTTTTACCTATAGACTAAAGTGTGATTTTCCAAAGAGAGGTCCCTGGGCCACTCTCATCAGAATCGCTTGAGGCACCTCCTTTATACCTTCTGAGGCAGAATATTGAAAGATGGGGCCCCATGCCCTGTAACAAATTTCCTGGTTGCTCCCTGTACACATTAAAGTTTGAGAAATATATACCTAAACTTTGTTAATGACACCAAGCTAGATAGCAATTGAAGCACCATTCCTTCATTAGATAACCAGTTCTTTGGGGAGACAAACTTGCTGACTGCTGAACGTATACTCACTCATCATGGTTGACCTGCCACTGGTTTACAAAGACACAGCGCCCTTTGGGGATGTAGAAGCCATTCAGTGTTGTGTCCTTTGTTGTGCTGAGGAGGGAAGACAGTTCTGTCAGGCTCAGGTGATGGAAAGCTGGGGTGTGTCCCTGGGAACTACTTGCTCCTACCTCCATCCCACCCCAATAGCCTGCTCACCATACTTTCCATGCCCTGCACTGGGAGGGAATGTGAGGGGCAGGGAAGAGATGAAATTATCCTTCCCCTTCCTCAGCTGCTGTTCCCCAACTTCAACAAGTGCTTATTAAACTTCCATGTTTATGTCCAGCTGTGCATTTGGCCATTTTCTGGAGCCAAGAAGCAGACACTGGGGAGCTCCTAGCCTGTCTGGGAGTCAGGTCTCTTATTCCAAAAGTAACTAGACCAACATATGGGCAGAAGAGAATGTTCACTGACTTTCTTGCCACTGTTAAAATTCCAGGACATACTCAAGGATAAATGGCTGTAAGTCCAGTAGAATGTCAGAGAATGAAGTCATGTCAGCTAAGTGAGTCCAGAAAGGCTCTGAGAGAGAAGTGTGTGTCAAGATTGACCTTGGGTAAAGGTGGAATTCTGGTAGCCAAAGAATAGAGTAGAAGGCATTCCAGGTAGAAGGTCCAGCATAAGCAAAATAGTAGGCTGACCAGAACATGTTTGAAAGGGCTGGTAAGAACAACTGGCTGGAACAGAAGGTAGGTGAAGGGAACATGAGTGTAGTTGAAGGGAAAGTGAGTGTAGTTGAATGAGAACATGTCCCAAGTGTGGTTTTCCCCTGAGAGCCTTTGAAGAGTTTTCAGCTGGGTGGTTTGAACAAATTTAAATGGACAGGAACTAGTATGTTTAAATGGACTTGAGCTTGGGGTCTGTGAGGAACTTGGTGTTGTGGCCAGGAAGGAGAGGCTGAGGCCTGAGCCAGCCCAGGGCCAAGGAGCTTAGAGGAGTAGACATGGTGAGGACCTCAGAGGTGGAGTCAAAATGGGCAAGCCTCACCTGTGGGGGATGGTGAAGGGAACAAAGGAGGAGTGTCGGAAGATCTCCAGGATGAAGGCTTCCATATAGGGCAGCTGAGGTCTGTCAGAGAGCCGGGGCCTCCGGTCCCTGCCAATCATTGTGTCTGCAGAGGACAGTTAGGGCTTAGGGACTGCCTTGACTGCTCCGGGCTTCTGTTCCTATTATACTGTGTGTCATTCTGTATAGGACTATACCTATTTACTTGTCTGAGACCCTACTGACCCTCCAGCATCTTCTGGGCAAAGGTGGGCATCTGTGTATGCCCAGAGCTTACAAACAAATCAAGACCTTGTGAGAAGTCATATGTTGTACCTTTTGAAGAAGGGACATGGGGGAACTCTAATCACCCGTTGGGTTTGACCCACAAGGCTGGGTCACATTGCAGGCACAGAGTAGCGTGTAGACTGAACAAATGACTTAGGGCCCCAAGGCTTTTCTTGACCAGAGGGTTCAGGGACACAGCATACCCAGTTCCTTCTGGATCTTCTTCTGTATCCCAGGCTTTGTCACAAGGTACATAATGCTCCAGGAGATAGCTGTTGTGATTGTGTCAAACCCTGGGGAGTGTGGGGTGAGTTAAGGAAGAAAGGAAGTCAGGAACAAGGAAACTAGCATTTACCAAATACCCACATTATAGCAGGAATTATTTTCTCTGGCTCCTGCCCCTGAACTGCCTGAGGACAGAGGCCAGTCTCCTCAACACTGACCTGAGTCATTGGTTTCTTAATTAGCTTCTGGAATCACAGGGGCCTAGACTTCCAGAACAGAGAATACTTTATTGTTGAGGTGGGGAAACTGAGGCACAGAGACTTAGTCAAGTTTCCACTGGGCGTTAGTGATTCAGGCAGGGCTTGAAACCTGATCCTGGGTCAGGTCTCTGTGTCCTGTCTCATCTGGCAAGTGATTGGTGGGTTATTTGATGGATCTTGGGGTTGGACAAGGGGTGGATGAAAGGCAGGCATGGAGGGGCAGGGGTCTGGATCCTACCGGCCCCAAAGATGTCATTCACAAGGTTGATGATATTCTTCTGTGGGATTAGGCCACCACTGGCTCTGGAGCCTTCCTCGCTGTGCTTGAACAGGGCACTCGTGATGTCCTGGACACTGTTCTGAAGAGTCACAAGCTTAGAAGCACTCTGGCAGCTCTGAGGCCATAGGCACAGGCCTTCACCTTGCCCACCCCATCTGGCATGACCTGGGGGCTGGGTACATCCCTTTGGCTTTCAGGCAGTGGATAGGGCCTCATGGCAGAAGTCTGCAGCAGCCTTAAGTAGGCTTAAAGTACCATTTCATGCCCCATTGACCCTTCGTCCCAGTAACCTCATAGATCCAGTTTCAGAGGAGGAAGAAGTTGATATGAACGTAGGGAAGCAAGATGACACCTGAGTTGGGGATTAACCTCTGCTGGGGCTCAGGTTCCATGCAGAACAAAGGTCTTCTCATTCGTAATAGCCCCTCCACAATGCAGGGCTCTTCCAAGGCCCCGTTCACCTGCCTTATCTCTCTGAACCTTTGCAGCCACCCAGAGAGAAAGCCAGAGGGATGAGGAAACTGAGGCTGAGAGAAGGGGAAGAGATTGACTCCAGGTCACACAGCTGGTCCAAGGAATCCCAAGACTTCCTGAATATCTTAAAGCTGGGTGAAAGGGGCCATACCCAGGCCCTGTGGGGTGTCCCCTCACCACCTGTACCCTGGGCTCACCTTGTCAAAGTCCTTATAGTGCTCCTGGACTGTTTTCTGCAGGAACTGCACGAACCTCTGGTTGAAGGTCTTGAACTTCTGCAGGGTGGGGTTGGGCAGGTAGCGAAGGAAAGGGAAGAAATCCACAGGGTTCCCGGAGGTGGCGGACTCCACAAACTCATGGCTGTTCTCTATGAGGCTGAGCATCTCTTTACTGCTCTGGGGGAAGTTGTGCCCAAAGCACATGGCACCAATGACATTTGCCACCGACACCACCACCTGGTTGTAGGGGTCGAAGCACCCCATCTCTTCCATCAGCTTCTGAAACTTGCTGAGGAGGACCTCAGCCTCCTTGCTTACATGCTCCTCCAGGTAGCAGGAGGATGAGGAGTCTGGGTCCGAGGCTATGGAGAAGGTGTTGAGGGCATTCTGGGCTAGGCGCCGGCGGGCAGCCCATGTTGGTCCAGAGTCAGGGTTGAAAGTCATGCTCTGGCCGTCAGTGATCAGGGTGAAGGTATAGAGGTCAGGCCGGCCCTTGAAATCATTACTCTGCCGCACCAGGGCCTGCCGGATGGTGTCCAGGCCACTCAGCACCAGCACGGGTGTGCAGCCAATGCGCACCTGCAGCACGTCACCATACCGCTGGCTCAGGTGTGTCAGTGCCAGGTGTGGGCTCTTCCCAAGGGTCAGCATGTGCCCAATCAAGGGCCAGCTCCAAGGTTCTGGAGGACTCTTTAGGCCTTTGGGAACCTGTGGCTTCCAGGACCTGACCACCCAGAATACCAGGCAGAAGATGGCAGAGGCCAAGAGGATCTCCGTGGCAGAGAAAGGAACAGGCTGGAATAATATCATCTTTACCAACTATAGGGAAAGAGGAAGGAGGAGCCAGGCTGAGGGTGAATTCATTCATTCATTCACTCATTCATTTATTTAATAAACATGGACACATGTTCTGTGCTTGGCTCCCAGCTGGACATCAGAAAGACTAAGATACATTCACTACAGGTCCTGTGCTAAGGAGCTTATCCCTAGAACATCACAGAGTCTGAGGGTTGGAAAGGAACCTCAAGAATCCCAACTTGAGTGTCTGAATCAGTAACGCTGGTCCTCCCCTTTATTCATCACCACAGTTTCAAGTTCTGAGCATGGAATAGAGGCAAGTGACCACTCCAAAAAAGGTAGCACCCCTGCCAGCCCCTGGCAGTCTGTACACTGGGCATTGTGTCAAAGCGTCCCTACCAGTGCTGGCTCCCTACAGTCCCTCTACTGCTAATACCTCTCATATACCCAGGGACAGGGACCTCCCCACACCCAGTAATACTGAGGGGGCCAAGGCCTCAAGGCTTATATAAAAATTGCTCATGATGTCCATCTCTCCCAGGGGCTCTAGCAATACCAAAATAGATGCCCCATCAGAGATGAGTCCCTGTTCCCTCACAGACTTGGAGGCTGAGGATGGGCTGCATCCATCGCCAGGGTTGGCCAGGTTATAATTGGGGACCTCTCCTCATGTCTCCACTCCAATCCACGTAAGGGTCATTAGAGATAGTCTAGTTCAAGCTGCCCACTTAAAAACAGAGAAATTGAGGTCCAGAGATGGACAGCAACAACTAGAATTCAGGCTTCCTACACCTAGCCCAGGATCCCCCTACCTTCCATCTCTACGGGTTCCCAGATTATATGGTGGGAGATCCCAGAAACTGGGAAATGGGCTCAGAGGAGGTACCTGTAGAGGCAGGTGCTTGAGATCAGCAGAGTGTGGAGGTTAGTTCAGAGCTTCTGGCTATGAGTGAGGGAGCCTTTTATAAACACCACCCCCAATCAGATTGGCCCGGCTGTCCTGGTCATATGATTACAGAAGCACCGAACAACCTTGGAAGGATCAGCCCTTGGCCATGGGCCATGATCCCTCGGCTCCACCTACTATTCAGAGTCCAGCAACAGCTCTTTGGAGATGGACTAGAGGGGTGCTGGGTTCCCTGGTCCCTGAGGAGGGATGTCCAGCTCCTCTCAGGGACTAGAGTAGGGAGACCTGTCTCTCTCAAGCCCAGGGCAGGATGCTGGGAACAGAAGTTAAGCTTTGCACTGGTCCAGTCTTCCTGTACCCACTGTACCATGAGGAAGGATCCTGCCCAAGCACTCAGTCCATGCCAGTTAGGAGAAGGGAGTGCACTACTGTTCTCCAGAAGTATGTCCGTGGCCCTTCCAACAACCTGTGTGAACCAGGGAGTAGACCTATTCCAGCCACCTCTAAATTTCAGCACAATCCCTTAATCTGAAAACAGTAGAAAATTAAGATTCTGCATTCTAAAGAGAGGCCCCCTCAAATTTGAGCTGTTTTCCTGTGTGAGAGATGGGGAAAATATAAAGGTGAATGAAGAGCATGTTTGGAGACTGTGGATAAGAGAAAAGGAAAACTGTTTCCTGTCTGTACCTCCATTGGATCCAGGCTACTTAATAAAAAAAAAAGGCCAGAGTTTAAGATTTGGGTTTATAGATAATTGACTATTTCTCTTTTTATTTTTAATGTGTAGCAATTTTTAAAATTAAAATTAAATTATGAGATACATAAGAAAAAATACATAACATCATGTACAGGTTGGTGAATTTTTACAGACTTAACAAACTTGTGTAACCAGTGCCCAGATCAAGAACATTACCAGCACCATCTCTGGGTGGTGGAAATGATTAACACAGGGGGCTGCTAACCAAAAGGTTGGTGGTTCAAGTCCACCCAGAGGCACCTTGGAAGAAAGACCTGGTAATCTACTTTTGAAAAATCAGCCCAATTGAAACCCCTAGGGAGCACAGTTCTACTCTGACAAACATAAGTTTGCTGTGAGTCAGAATTGACTGGACAGCAACTGGTTTACTGGTTAGAAAGCATACCCCTGCTTTCTCCTTAATAGTAACTGTGATCCAGCTTCTAATAGCATGGATTAGTTTTTTCTATTTGGTTCTTTATATAAATGGAATCATACAAAAAAAAAAACTATTCTTTTTTTTCTAATGCATTTTATTGAAATATAATTTATGTACAGTGAAATACACAAAACTAAAGTGACATGCTTTTTTTTTTTTTTTTTTAGTGTTACCTCTCCTCCCCTCCCACCCCTGGCAACCAACAAAGAAAGTTTCCCTCCATATATAAACCCTTCCTTGACTCTCCACAGCAATGAACTAATACTATATTTGTCCTTCTGTGATTGACTTATTGCACTCAGCACAACATCCTCCAAGTTCATCCACATTATGTGGTGTTTTGCAGACTCTACATTATTCTTTAGTGCCGCATAGCATTCCAGTATGTGTCTGTACCACAGCTTGGTCAACCACTCTTCCGCTGATGAGCACGTAGGTTGTTTCCATCTTTCTGTTGTAAGTAGCACTGTGATGAACATGGGTGTGCATATATTTGCTCCTGTTCTGGCTCTCACCTCTCTAGGATATATACCTTGCAATGGGATTGCTGGGTCAAATGGTATATCCAATTCCAGCTTTCTAAGGAATCATCATACTGCTTTCCACAGTGGTTGTATCTCTTCACAGTCCCACCAGCAGTGTATGAGAGTCCCAATCTCTCCACATCCCTGCCAGCATTTGTTATTTTCTGTCTTGTTGAACCCTGCCATCAGTGCTGGGGTGAGATGGTAGCTCATTGTTGTTTTGATTTGCATCTCTCTGATGGCCAATGACCATGAGCATCTCCTCATGTATTAGCTGGCCACCTGAATATCCTCCTTGGTGAAGTGTCTATTCATGTCTTCAGCTCATTTTTCAATTGGATTGTTAATTCCTTTGCTGTTGAGGTGTTTGAGTTTTCTACAAATCTTAGAGATAAGTCCCTTGCCAGGTATGTAATTATTGGCAGATATGAATTTGTTGGTGTCATTTTTGAAAAGTGCTTTTTTGTGGTGTCAATTTCTTTGTTCCATATAATTTTCTATGCTGAGCTAATTTTTTTTTTATGAATCATGTGATCACTTCCTTCATTGCTATTGTTTTAGTATTTGCTAAATATTTGTGCTGGTCCTTTTTTTTATTTTGATGTTTATCATTTTTCTTTGAGGTTACCCTGTGATTTATAGTTTTCTTCCCAAGTGTAGAACAGTCTGTTCTATCTTGTAGTTGTCTTGACTTCCCTACCATCTAGAAGTTTTGAAATGACAATTTTTCCCCTCTTTTTGGTTTGCAGTTGTCC